GATTCTTTTAAAGAAATAAGTATATTTATAGTAAAAAATTATACTTTTTATTCTACTATCTCAAGTTTATCCAGATATAAATATATTACAAAATAGCTGCAAAAAGCAGAGCTAGTGAAAAGATATGGAGCATATTTTTTTTTGATAACAAAATTAATTTGTAGGCTACTTATTTTATTGTCCTCTTTTGCCTCAAAGTCTACAGGCTCGGCCTAGTTTAGACATTAATGTATTTAACCAAAGATTGCACTAATTATAAAGGTTAAAACAAATCTCTTGTAACTCTTTTGTATTTAAGTCAATAAAGATATTATTATATGGTTTAATGAAGAAAACACATGTTTGTACAAAATATATTTATTTTGTTAACATTTTCAATTCTTAAATTAACAAACACAATTTCGCCTTAACAAAGCGAATGCTTATCTTCTTGCATACCATAACTATGGTAATGTGCGTATCATTAATACAATGACAACAATGCTAAAAATAAAGATATTCAAAGTATAACTACGGTTTTACAAATAAGTTTCTTTATAAAGATCGTTGAAATAAAATTAATAAGGCAAAATCATATGGAGTAATTTTGTAGTTCTACAATCAATCAATTTTAAGTAAAGATTTGTTTTTGCGTAAACTGAAATAATCATAATGTGAAATGAGCTTCCTGTGAAATATTATATGTTACATATAATATTAATTTTTATCAAAAATTATAAAGACATATAGTATAATCTCAAACATATATGTATGTAAGTAATTGAACTTGTTTCTATGAATTACCAAATAACCAACACTAACAAAATCGAGCTTTTGTATAAGCTTTTCTCTTTCAAACTGTGTCAACAACTTTGCTTTGAAAAGCTATCTATCACTGTAGCAGCTTCAAATATTAAATTATCAAAATTCTAATTAATTGTAATAGGTTATAATTTAAGTAATATAATGTATACAGGAAATTTAAATGGGGATCTTTAAATGGTTATATTAGTGAGATCTGCTTAAGTTTTAGACAAATGTCGTATGGCAGTGTTTTATTATATATATACGTTATATATGGTTCAATAATCATACTATTTTTATTTATTTGCCATATAGTTGAGAAGCGCCACATAACGCTGCCATGTAAATTCTTAATCAAATTTGTTTGTGCTATTTGACCAGTCATTTTCTTTAATTTTGTACTAAACCAAAAATGTGCGATGAAAGTGGATCGGAGAAAAATAACAAGTCTAAAGACTTAATTATATGTAAATGTATTAAAGAAATTCGGAAAAAGGTGTGTTTTATATTCTCTTTCTTAATTACAAGAGAAAGGCTCGAAGCTATAATAAATATACTGTAAGTTTCAAACCACTTGTTATTAATTAGATAGCTATTTAATAAAAAAATTTTAAGTATATAAATCAAAGTAGTATTTTTAAGAGATAATTTTCTTATCGTTTCATAGTTATTTCAATGACAAGAATATTAAAATTACATTATCTTTTTTATTAAAACAAATCTATTCCACGGGAACTGTACATTTTTGTGGAATAAAAGTAGCCTATGTGCTATTCCACACTATAATCTATCTCTATGCCAAATTTTATCTAGATCCGTTCAGCCGTTCTGGCGTGATTGAGTAACAAACATACAAACATCTAAAACTCTCACATTTATATTACATAGAAAAATAAAGAATGTATTTATAATTTTGTTATAATATTATCAATGTCGTATTAATGTAGTAAGGAATTTTATTATGAAGATTTTTTATTGCTACCATATTGACTATTAAAATAAAAGATTGAGAAACATTTCAATGGTTTGAGAAAATTCGTAATTTGTTATTATTCTTAGAAAACAATAAAGACAATCTTTTTATTATCTTTAGAGGAAAAAAATGTCTAAATTGATAAAAATTTATATGAAATGACGGAGTCTATTATATTTGAGTCTGTATAATATTATATTTATTATGACTGTATATTGTCTGTATATTATGTATTTTTTTATACATACTGTATAAATGTAGAATTTTTTTTATTATAATATGAACATTTATTACAAATATTATTAGATGTTATACTTGTTAGACATGTCTGATAATATTAAATGAGCAATTCTTGTATATATATATACATTTATTTCGTGTATCTCGGTAAGGGCTCTAACGATTTGGATCAAACTTTGTATTTATATAAGGTTTTGCTTTTTAAATTTATCTATATAGGTGTCCTTTCCGAAAAAATGAAATTTTAGTATCCATGCCGTAAACGCTGAACGAACGAACGAAACTTTAATTTATATAAGACTAGCAGAACTCGCGGCTTCGCTCACGCTAAAACTACAAAAAAAAGCTCTAAAATGGTAGGTTTCATACAAACTTTTATCCGCTATTTTACCCCCTTATGGAATGAATTTCGAGTTATCCTAAAATACGAATTCAATTAATTGTATTGAAGAGCATTTATACCCAGTTTCAAGTAATTCCGATCATAAATATTTTTTTGGATTGTATTATAACGTGTTTACCCGTAGGAAAGAGATAATCCCTGCGGTAAAAAGTACCCTATGTCACTCTCCAGTCCTCCAACTATCTCCACACAAAAAATCACGCCAATCCGTCAATCCATTTCAACATGAAAGAAGGACAGACAAACAAACAAACAAATAAACACACTTTCACAGTTATAATGTTAGTATGGATACTATAATTATTATCATTTTAGGCATAATTTAAACGTGAAAAGATAACCAATACACAAACATACATACGTTTTGTTTTCAGGTCAATCAAGCACACATATAGAGTAAATTATACCTTTGCTCCATAGATATTACATGATAAATTACACAAAATTACAATCAATATGATGTCATATAAAACATATTCTGGGAAAGCTATTTTAAGACTCGTAATATACTCGTACATATACCAGTAAAGTTATGCCATTAGGACTTTAGATAAACGACTTGATAATAATCCTTTATTTGCAGTATTATGTGGCAGTAATCAAGGTAAAAAAGTGAAGGGAATTCTCATAAAAATTAGTATTCGAACATTGTGACATCAGTTTTCTTCATATTTAAATTACCGTATACATTTTATTTCTCCAACACAATTTTTTATACAAAAGGCAGTGATAATAACTAATAAAAATTAAATGTAACAGTGCTATATAGTTTTAAAATTAAATTATTATAATAATCTATAAGTTTTGTTAGAGGGTGCGCTAACGAAAGAACAGTGGCAGTGAGTTTCAATGGGTTTGAGTTGATGCTACTTAATGTATTTTATCTCTAAATATTTACATCTTTTAAACTATATTATGGCGTAGACTCAGAAATATGATGGAATTTTGTATTAGACATTTGATTACGAACCTTTACATTTAGTATAGAATTGATTGTTTTTTCGACGAAATTTTGAGCATTATATATTTTTTGAAGCGATTTTTTAGTTAAGTTTTATGAAAGTTAATAATTGCTACTAAATAAAAACACACTTTTAAATTTATTAGAAGAAATATGTATGACATAAAGATAGTTTACAATAACATCTATACTAATACATGTAAAAAAACGATTAAACGTCAAATTAAATCAAAATCTTTACTTTGAAGGCGGTTAAGTATGAAATATTATCAAGAAAGTTTTAACACAAACTTTTACAATTTCAACGGAACGCAACCCGTACTTCTTAGTTTGAAGTGAGCGAGTTCACCTGCTTTTTATTGTGCAACTTTGCAAAACCTCATGACCTCTGGTTATTGCATTTCAGTGTCACGATCTTTGAAGTATGTTCTTTAATATTACTTTTTTAATTTCACTCTATATCCCCGATATTTCCAAAATGGCTGGCGTTTTTAAATCCACCCATAACCAAATTGGAGTTACGATTATAAGTAATTTTGGGATAGTTATATTATATTAAACTCATATAGCTATTTGTCGGATAAATATATTATGGAGAGCCATTTTATAGCTTTTTTGTCTATGTTAATACGAGATTTTACTGCTGAATCAAAATCAATGGGGTATCACGTGTGAGGATAGAGGATTGAACGGAAAATTTCTTTAAAATTTTATATTTTGTTTTATGTTTGAGTAAAGTAAGAGAAATGTTAAAAGTAAATTTACTTTTTACGCAAAAAGAGTGGATTGAGATACATTTTAGTTCATTTACAGTAGATTTAATTGAACAAAAAAGATTATATGAGATAAAGATTAAAAAGTTTGGCAGTTTAGTTAGTTTATAATTTAAGGTGAAGCCACAGGTATCAGATTGTTAGGGATATAATATAGATTTTAACAATTTTGCAAAACTTTTAATTTGGTGTATCCTTTCATGTTCTTATGTCAATTTTTTATTCATTCAATTTTTATTTAACAATTATTATCACTTAATGAACATTTTCTTATTATTTTAAATACCTTTTTATTTTAAAGTTGGTTATTATTTTTCAACATGATGTTCTGATGACAAAAAATGATTACGAAATTACATCTTTAATACTTAGAACTACGACTACTATCACGGTGTTCTAACCTATGATTTGAAGCATTAATATAGGGATAACTAAGTATATACAATAATTACAAAACAACATAACATGAGCACTTTGAATCCTTCGCAGAGCCTACATAAAAATAGGACAAACGTACTCAAGATTTATATATTCAGTAAAAACTTGCTTAATTTGTATTAACTAAAAATTCTACTATTTTACATAAAATCTGATGAAAATTTATTATAATTTCATACGTGAATTTTAATTTTAATTTAAACGATGTACATTTAAAGTTTGATATTTCACAGTGATGTATAAAAATCATGTTATAAAACGATTATCATGTCCTGATTCATATTACTATGACACAAATGAAATGTCAGTCCTTTAGTGATTCATAACAGATTCAAGTGCTCAATAAAGCTGTCAATGCAGACTCCAATCTATAGATAACTCCCTAGATCGAGAATGTAATTGCGGCGCATCGCCGCGGGCCGCGTGTCAGTAGTCCAGAGATTCCTCGTCCGGAGATCGTTTACGGCAGCAAAGACGCCATGCTACTGCTAATGCACAAACACCTATAACAATTGCTAAAACAGCCCCTAATATTGTTGGTAACCAGTCCACACCTCCTCCTGTTCTGCCTGCACACAATTCTGGCGCTTCATCGTGAATTTGCCCCAATGGAATTCCTACATCCAAATAACCAAGACGTCGTAAGTTTTCTTCTGAATAAGCTTCTCTAGCCCTTTTCTCTTCTGCGGTCCAGAATTTTCTTTCGCCAGATGTTGTTACGTTTGGACAGTTAATCACACCGTTGCATATAAGTCGTGCTGGTATGCAAAGGGCTTCTTCGCCAGGACATATAAAGTCGCAGTGAGGGTCAGCTTTCGAACTTTCCGTAAGTCGTGATGTCATTAAAGTGCCGTCAGAATTTTTAGGTAAATGGAAGAGACCAGTCCAAGCAATTTTGAAAGAAGCCCGCGCAGGTGATGCGCTTCCAATAAATACTATTCTTATTGATCTAGTCTTTTCCTTTTCAATTACTAAAGGATCGTCTAAAGATTCAAAGCCAAGTTCTACCGCTGACAGAGGTGGAAGTTCACGAGCGAAAGATACGTTCTCACCGCAAACAGATAAATATGGTTCAATGCGACCAGGGAGATATATTTGAATATTTCCATCGTCACAGTGTCGTGATGCAAATTTAATACTGTCAAAGTGTAACCAAATATCCCGCTTCTCTTCGATTTCCAAGTCCCAAATGCATTGTATCCGTTTAGGTGGCTCAGTATATCCTAGTGCTTCTAAATGAGGATAAACAATTTCTCCCTCTAAAGCGGCAGCTAAAACTGGCGGCCCACAAAGAGGACCGTGGACGAATTCATATCGAGCTTCAAAAAGTGGCGATGGATTTTTAAAATAGGAGGCTGCGGCATGAGCGTTATCAACAATCAATTGTAAGTTTAAAGTTTCTCCAGAAGAAACAACTCTGTACGGCCTTACTCTAGATACAGAGTTTGCATGTTTTGCGCAGAGACACGAGCCTAGAGATCTTTGTACTGCTAAATGTAAGGGTAATGGAGTTGTGGTCATGCCTAAGGTATTGTTTATAGTTTTTCCTCCAGGAAACGGTTCCCATATGATAAGTTTGTCAGCTCTGTCTTCGTAACAGTTTTGACAGGAAACAGGCGTGTATGGGTGTTCCTGAAAAATTATATATTTTCAATAAAAGTGACAAAATAGTAAATATTTTAATGGACAATTATTTAGTTCTTCATAAAAGTTAGCGGGATTCGGACCAAATTTAAGTATGATGTACAGTGTATATGTATTGTATTATAACAGTGTATTATTTCACATTGTTTAAAGGTTTTCTTTATACTTATAAGTACCTCGTTATTTTAATCTTGATCTGATATTTTGTTATAACGAATTCAAAATTTTACGTTCCAGATAAAGTCGCTAGCTCTCTTACCACATAAATGTCTTCATTTATAATGTACAAAATCCGCGAACTTGATGCTATAACAGCCTAGTGTTTCAGGAGGTAAGGTTTATGGGCAATTTAATGGAACATTGGTTTTCACATTCAACGTTTAAAGTGCGAATACAAAATGCAGCTATAACTTTTTATTTCGATTTACATATTAAATAGTTCCCCGTGGTACCTTGTAACGCTCATATTCTCGAATACGTACATAAATTTTATAAATAAACAGCGTTAACTCGACCTTTATACAAAATTAAATTTATTAACGTTTTCTATAAAATTCATTTACGAATAATTAAATAGACTTTTTATATTATTATTATCATCTTCAGTACTGACAATTTTAATCAATATCTTCAACAATTCAATTACTTTATTGATTATTTATTTATTCAAGGGAAATAGATATTGGACATATCTTTTGTCCTTGAAATAAGAATTTTGAATCCTAAAATCAGTGATACTAAAACCTATGTAATGTAAAAATAAAATGAATTGTAAAAAAGTAAAATGTAATATAATATATGAAATTTATTATAGTTTCATCATAGCTTACCTTAAAATTGACACTCAAAATCGTCAGAATAACTCTGGCGTAGATCCTTTTGTCTGTAACAAATCTGTATAAGCAATGAACATCTTCACCGGGCAGTGCCTGTTTATATACAAGGGTGTTTAATGGAGATCGAAGCCTTCCAGCTCGCTGTTTCCAAGATGCTATAACTTCATCACAAGCTGTTCCTGGTACTGGTTCACCAAATCGAGTGTTGTTGAAGAAATCATAATGAGCCCAATAATATAGAGATGATCTGAAAATATATGGCTTCTTAATATTTTAATTCCAAACAATTGAAACAAGTCGTATTAATCTATCTATACAATATATATAATAATATATATAATAATAATGAATGTTCGTGTATTTGTCATCTATGCGTTCCTAAACAATTAATCCGATGATAATGAAAGACGGGCGGGTAAAATCGTATATACACCTGCAAAAGTTCGTGGTGCAAAAAAATCTTTGGACGTTTTTCATTCAAGCTAAAGGGCACACCCGAGCAAAGCGAGGGTAACTTGCTAGTATTTAAAAAAATTTATTCAACATTAAATAAATCAAGGTAATCTAAAACCTATACTATAAATCTAAATAAAACCTACAAAGTCATTTTTTACCTTAATTACTAAAAATATTGTTTAATTTTTAGGGTCACAATTAATTACAGCTTTTAATAAACCTATTACGCCACCATCTTATTTTCATCCAATAATATCAGTACCTTTAATCATTATATTACTAATACGAAATGCCGACGTAACATCCACTTTATTTCCTCAACACTCCGTAATACCAATCTACCGATTCACCCTTCTTCTCCCTATCAATGTGAAATTCCCACTAATAGCGTTACATACGTAATAGTGTAATCATGTTCTGTAATAGCTTTCGCTTTTCTCTGTGGCTTCTAAGCTTTTTCCTTTTAATATTTCGAATACGCATGTGAATTTGACAGCTCTTTATTGGAAACTGAAGGGAGAGTAAATCGCTACGGGATCTACGACGCAATAATTATGGTATACGTACATACAAATGTACATAAATATTAATTTATTATTATTTATAATATATCATTATTTATGGATATTATAAATTATTTTTGTTTATTATTTACATGTCTATCAAATGTATATTTATATGTATGTATATTAAGTTTGAAGAAATTAGGCCTATAATTTTAAATAAGTATCGGTTTTATGACACAATAAAAGCTAAAGCTATTCAAATAATGAATACCGCGCAATAAGGAAAACAAGGTAAAATCAGAATCTCGCTCAATAAGAACAAAAGTATTCGTTGAAATTAAGATTTAAAGTGATTGAAGTCTTATTATTAACATATTATGTATTATATATGGGTTAAAATAAATGATTTGGGTTTTGCGCTTGACATGTTTGTTTAGCAATTTTTTACCGCGTTGGAAGTCCGTTTTATAGTTGTTGAATATATTTAGATAAAGTGTGAAACATAAATGTAGAGAAAGTCAATATATATTTGTTCGGCAAATATTTAAAAATAACGGAGTAGCTTAATCGTATTAATTTTAAATTCATATAATTAATTTAAATTTCTGTTTCTTTCTTTCTTTTTTAATTTTCTTTCTCTCTAAATTGTTTATTCAAGACAAAATAATTTTATCAAAATAAGCTTACCCACTATAACTGCCAGTTTTACTTTCAAATCTTACAAACATAGCGTTCCCAGTAGATACAAAGTCATGTTTCTCCATAGGTCTACTGAAAGTATCACAGAATGTCTTGATTATCTTCGCATCATCAGGTCTTGGAGCATCATATAAAGTCAAGGACTCTCCACAGTCACCGGTAAACGGAGATATTGGTGACTCTATGCGATTTATTCGAAAACTGTGTAAACAAATATTGAAAGTGAGTATTAATTATATTACAGAGGTATTATTAAAATAAAATTTGGAATAATTTTTGGAAAATTTCAGAATTTTTAGAAGTTGTAAGACAATAAAATATTGGTAGCTTCAAGCATTTTACTTATTCTATATACTTAAGAAGAAATATATTTTGGCCAACATATAATAAGTGTGTATTGTAAATTTGACGTTTTGAAAATTTGATAATTTTAATAATTAATATAAAAAAATGAAGCTTTTCTACAAATAAAGTTTACTCTTAGTATGAAGTTTACTCCGACTTTCTTAACTAAAGCAAAATTAATTTCTAATTACAACAGAGTATAAAGTTATTTTTTTTAATAATAATGGTATATACAAAGTGAATACAACATTTTCTTTTTATTACAGAATATAAAAAAAGTAATTACATAGGTACTTACCTAGGAAAATATAATCTGACTACTTGACCAGGGAATCCCTGCATCAGATAAGTGCACGACGTATGAGGTGGATACCAATGTGCAACAGATAAAAATATCCCTTCAGTGTCTCCAGACTTTTTTAAAGATTCTGCTGTGAGGAGCCAGTCACAATTTCCAATTTTAGAGCCTGGTGCTTCAACGTGACCAGGCCAGTTACCCACGTTGAAATGAAAACCGGTATTTAGAAGTGGCCCTGGACAAAATTATATTATGATTACAACTTTTTTAATACGAGATTTGTGGCTGCTAAAAATATTATTAAAGAAATACTTTTCAGTAAAGTATAAAACAAATTCTATATGAAATACAGCTTAAAGCTTTAATGGTCACCGACATTATTTTTATTATCAATCAAAATCATTACTTTATTTACATTAATTTTTCTTAAGCGAATAGCAACAATTAAAACGATAAAATGAAATTCTTGAAAGGGAATAGCTATTTGAAACGTTTAACATATAAGGAATATTCTAGAACTTCTACAATGCTTTCAAATTATTCGACAATCTGTCATAATAGCTCAAATTGGCAAACTAGGAACAGTTAGTTCATACCCGCAGGTGAGCTGACGAACTCCACAAATAGGTCCTGGGACGTTCCGATAATAGAATAGGGAAACTTTCCCATGCCACAGAAAGTTCCGATCACAGATGCCGATTCGTCTTTGCCATCGTATATCCTTATGTAGTCATATGGACAATTTTCTGAACCTAGAAAATAAATTTAAATGTAGACTGATTTTTTAGGTAATATAATTGAATTTTTAACTTTGAATATAAGATTATAATTTTAACGGTTAGTATGGAATGGATAAACTATATATTATAAATACATAGGTGTGATGAGCTGTTCTGGGTTGTATTACAAACCAACCCTCCAACTATCTCCATATAAAAAATCAGGCCAATTCATCACTCTGTTTCGACGTGAAAGAAGGACAAACAAACAAACACACAAAAAAAACACACCTTCACATTTATAATATTAGGATGGATTTGATAATATTACTGTTTAAATTCAGGATGGTCTAATAAAGGAGGAATATCAAATTTATTCATATTTTTGAAATATTGAAGAGGAAATGTAATATTACCAAATAGGCTCCTTAAGCCGAGCCAAGTATCTAATATTAATAATCAATATCAATAATCCTAATGATATTAATTCACTACAGAAGGATTTGACTAGCTTGCATAATTGGTGTAAGCTAAATGGTATGATATTGAACTCTAGTAAGTGTTTCCACATAACCTTTACGAAGAAAAAAACAAATATAAGTACAAAATATTATTTGAATGACATGCCTTTGAGTACAGTAGATATTATCAGAGATTTAGGTATTCTATTTGACAAAAAACTTACTTTTGTACCACATATAGATAGTATTGTCAGTAAGGCAAGTAAAATGTTAGGGTTCGTAATCAGAAATTGTAAGGTATTTAAAAATATGCGAACAAAAATTACTCTATATAAAAGCTTAGTTTTGAGTATTTTGGAGTATGGAAGTGTTGTCTGGAGACCCCATTATGCTACCCACTGTTTGAGAATTGAAAGGCTCCAAAAGCGTTTTTTATATCATCTGGCTTTCTCACTGGGCAAATCTAGATCACTTGCAACTTATACAGAAAGGCTTACGTATTTTAAGATGTTTAGTCTAGAAAAAAGAAGAGATATATTTGATTTAAGTTTCTTATATAAAACTATTAACAGTATATATGACAATCCATCACTAATATCATCTTTTAATCTAAAAGTGCCTAGGTGTCCACGAAAGCCGATCAGCATTCTCGTAGCACCTTCTCGCAGATCTGTTTTAGGTAATCACTCTCCCTTGTCACGTTTTTGTAATATTATAAATAATCATAGCAACTTGGATCCATTCGGAGACACGCTGCCTATGTTCCAAAAAAAAGTTAAAAAATACCTATAATTTATTTTGTGGTTCTTCCTGGGTTTTTTTTTTTTTTTAATTCGAATTGTAATCTTTTTCCATTTTTGTGTGTTATTTAATTGTGTGAGTGTATTCTATTATTTATTTAATTTAATATTTTATAATAGTAATTTTAGTACTGTAAAATAGATATAATATTAACATTTTATAAAATCTCAAAATTTGCATGTGGTATTCACCTTAAAAGGTAGTGCAATTAGCTATAAAAACTTAAAATAATTGTACTTGTATAAAATAAATTGTATTATTGTAACTAACCACTGGTGAATCTAATAAATAAATAAATAAATAAATAAATAAATATTTTTTCTATCGTTACTGCGAAAGGTGAGCCTATAATTTATTACGATCATAAATAACGGACAACCAATAATAGACATAAAATCTGGACGGCTTTCCAAAACTTTCTACCAATATTACATTCTTCGCAACTGTCAAAACTTGGATACCCTCGTTATTTTGTTAGGGATGCCTTTTTATCATTTTCATATACTTGATTAAAATTTTTTATTTGGTTTTATATAATTTTGTAATTAATATTATAAAAAATAAGGCATTTCTATAATAAAGTTTGTTTGTATTGACTTTCTTAATTAAAGTAAAATTGTTTTCTAAACACAACAGAATTTAAAGTTATGTTTTAAAGAAAATACTAATGTTTTGTAAAAAACTGAGTACATACAAAATTTTCTTTTATTATAGAAAATGTCTTCAAATATTCCATTTACGACCATTGTGGTTAACTTTGACTCACAACTGGAACTATTCTTATAAATGTTATAGTGACTTTTCCCGAGCTTTTATATTGCACAAAACTTTTTCATCTCTACCAAAAAGATATATATTAAATCAAGCCTTTTACAGTTTACTGATTATAAATTGATTTCTTTCACAAATTTCAATACAATTTTTAATTTGAAATTATAGTTTAGTTGATAACTTTTTCAGGTAAATATCTAGTCCGTTTAGTCTAAAATTAGTAAGATTTACTCTTCTTTCTGTTAAGTTGGTTCACTGAAATTTGAAATTTCTGAATGTTCACATATATGTTTACAAGCATTTGAAACGTCGGGAACCAAAAATCAAAATAAATCCGCGAAATAATCCGAAAAGATAATTTTATTTAAGATATCAAATATTCGCATAAATGTAAGAAAATATTAAGACCCAGTTCCTTAAAATCTTACCACAAGCAATAAAAACCCAATTTAATGAACAAAATCGACCTTATTTACAGTGAGTCACTATTTTATCTTCCATATATAGACTAATGTAGTTTATTTACCACAATATTTATGTAATATAAGCAAACAAAAGTATGATAAATGACGCAAAATGATTTATTAGACTAACCTGAAGTGATGGGCCGCATGGGACATGTCATAATATTCTCACAGCGTTGCCCGTCTATGTTGAACTCTTCATTCTCTATGTATAGTTTGATGTAGGGTAACCGCGTATTCAAATGGTATCTATAAGAAATATAAATGGATTATTCTACTATCTGTTAAATATTTTTAAGTTAGATATTATAAATATTTATTTGCATTAAAAACGTTTTGTTTTAAATCACTTATACTTATTGTTATTATGCTGTCAAGCATTGAATTATTTTGGAACATACTCGTAAATGCAGTTTAGAGTATTTTCCTATTCTAAACTAAAAATAACTTAAACTAATCTAAGTAATATATGTATAAAATATAAGTACTATGCTATTTTTTTGCAAATTCTATGGTTTTTGGATTAGAAAATTTCATTCATTTCCAGTTTTTAGTTACCTCAACATTATTAAAGATACAATATTTATTTATATCTAAGGAAATTGATCAGAATAGCTTTTTTATGTTCATTTTATTTTGAAACTTCAATTTTGTGAACGATTTGTGTATTTTCGTTACTATTACATATTTACATTTTTATTTTTAGAGAAAGTTCAGTGGGAAAATGATCTAAAAATACATGCACTCAAATTTTCATCATTAAAATTTGCCAATTACAAACAATAAATATGAAGTTATGATCCCCTAATTACTAGAATGACTAAAATAATATGTAAAATATATATTAACTAACGTTTTCCTGCAGCTCCGCCTGCATATTACAGTAATCACCAACATATCATATACGAAAACCTTCTCTGAAACACGCTGCATCTTACGGTATGAGTATTATTCCGATCGGTTCAGTAGTTATCGCAGTATAACCGAACAAAAAAATTACTAGTATAGATTGGATATGTAATTATACCGCGTGGTCAATAAATATCTTAATAGGTACCAAAAAATATTGACAAAGTGTAAACAAAACTTTAGATAACTGTCTAGAAAACGGTTGATTTGTAAGTGTAATTTTCTTCCTCATATGGATCGAATGTTTTATGACTAATGATATTCATGAAGCCGGCTTCGCAAGGTGTTGTTTGAGTGCTATAACTTCTATAGATTATTGCCAAAGTTATATGATACGAAAGTAAAGGCAGATTTACACTGGGTCAGTAGCTGTCGTCAGTGCTGGCACCGAAAACTGACTCATCTTATTTACACGCAGTCACACATTTCGTCAGTAGTAGAGGATATTTCTTTTGGTGTACACACGTTCGTAAAGTTAGGACGAAAAAATGTAATGCGGCAGTAAGTTTGACAGATTGTATTGATATTAATCGCCAGTGTCAATTTTGGTGATACATTTACGTAAACGGAAGTAAAGCCGTACAAGATGTTTCAGCGGAGAATTACAAATGAAGTGGCATTACATAGAAATAATTTAGAATAGCCTACAAGGTATAAATGAATATTGAGATTATTATTTCGTGTAGCTTATATGTTATGTTTGTATACATATTATTATGATTATATTATACTAGCGACTCACCCTCACTTCGCTCGGGTTCGTTCCTACGTTGCTTCCCCATACAAAATTTCATACCTATTTTCAATCCCTTAAGGGATAATTTCCTGGATAAAAGCTCAAACAATCTTCTTGCCAAATTTCATCTAAATCGGTTTAGTAGTTTCGCAGCTTATTCGGTACAAACAAGCAAACAAAAAAATCTTTCCTCTTTATAATATTAAGTATAGATAACTAAGAAAGCTTGGCGGGAGAAATAGATAAGGGGGTGGTACCCATCCAGTTGGACTCCTCAGGATTGACAGAGTCCTACCACCGGTAAAATACACTGTTACAACATAAGGAATCCACAAATATTTATGCATTAGCGTTTTAAATTAATATTATATATAAAAAGAAAATTTAAGTTTATTCTTAGGTAGATATTTTCCTTGTAAAATTAGCCAAATTTAGTACCTGCAATGTAAATTCCTTGGGTACACTCCGGGGTAGGCGGCCGACTGCACGTAGCAGGTTTGCAGCCGGCAGTCTCGAAACACTCGCTCGCAGTACGACCTATAAAAACTTTTGATGAACAGTTGCTTCATAATGAATCCAACTCCACTTTAACTTTTATAACAACCATATATTGTTGGGAAGTTCAAATGAATTTGTGGTTTAATTTATAAATGCTTAAAGATTTTTTTTGGTTGGAAAAATTTTGTGGAATAAATCATATTCTTTATATACGGGTATTTGCATTGATTATTTGATTTGTTGGTATAGGGACTGGCATACGACTGCACATCCGGAGGTCCTGGGTTTGAGTCCTGAAGCGGGCCTAATATATAGATTGGGTTTTTTTTTTGATAAAAAAAATCTCACTAAAAACCGGGAATGGGAAATCGCCGGTATGCATGATTATTCACTATACCTACGTAAAAATAAAATAGAGATATATTTCTGACATAACAAAGGGACGACAGATTGACCTACTATTTACTGGCCGAAGACATCATTTATATTTTAAATACTTATAAGTAAATATAAATATGTTAAATATGTTGGAACATTAACACACAGCACTATCTAGTTCCATGGTAAAATATGAGGCTTGTGTTATGGATACCAGATAGTTGCTACACTACACATATATATTCCGGGGCAGAGGCTGACTGCTACCGGACGCGTCCCCGGGTGGCGGATAGGGGAACACCACTCGCGCCTGTTTGGACCCAACAGGAGCTTGTGGTACCGGAGCAATTCGGCGCGGACCAACAGCCAGGAGGGGAGGTTGAGGGAGCGGCGTTAGAGGGCGCCGTCTCCTTCTTGGAGGTAGCGCGGTGTCTCCGGCCGTTTTGCGGTAGGAGGTGCTGCGCGGGCCACACTGCCGGGGCTAGCCCGTCGGTGCGGCGGCTGGAGCGGGACCATTTCGGTGGTCCTGCGTATGGCGAGGGATGTCGGCAGCCATTTTGGTCCGGAGGTGGGCCGACGGTAGGGGGGCCGCGGGGGAAGAGGAGTGTTGGTATGGCGATGCGCCGCTCGTCCCTATCTCCCGCGGCCTAGCGGGGCCACCACCGTTGATGGTGGACGCGGTGGGGCTGCAGGGGAAGGGGAGTGTCGGCGTTGTCGCATCCTCTTCTCCTGCAGCCGTTTGTGTTTGGGCCCACTTCGGTGGGCGGTATTTGTGTGGTGTGGGGCTGCTCCGGGTACTTCTCTGATCAGCAGAGTGGACTTAGGAGCGGCCTCACTTCTTCTTGGGTTGAGAGTCTTCCCATAATGGGGTTGTCCCGCTTGGGGCGGCCTCATGGTTGGTGGCTTCGGCCAACCGTCGGGGCGTCACGGTTGTATGCCAGAGCGATCCCGTGGCGTCCCACATGGCGGCAGGGGGGGGAGAGGGGGGGGGAAGTTGGGTTTTAGTGGGTATGCCGGTCTCATTAGCCGGAGAGTCTCCACATAACCACCCCGGGGGAAGTCGGGTGGTATCCGTAATAGGATTTCCCAACTATAAAAAAAAAACAAAAAAAGAAAAAAAAAAAACACTACACATATATATACATTACATACATAGATATTATAAAATATATAAACACCCATGACTGGACTACAAACATTCGTGCTTATCATACAAATAAATGCCTCCAGCGGGACTCAAACCCGCGACCGCTAGTACAGCAAATAACGTCACTACAAACTGAGCCGAACGTGTCGTCGCGATAAGTGAAGTGAAGTGGTCTCTTATTTATATAATATACTAGCAGAACCGGCCATGTTTTGCTGTGGCACACATAGGAAAATTGTTAAATTTTCAATAAAAAATGGAAATATTCGGGATAAAAACTATCCTATCCTTTAAGTTGGAACAAATCACGCATTTAGAAAAATACGTTACGATCGGATAAGTAGATTCGGAGTTCATCCCGGACACGGGAATTTTATATATAAAATAATTATAATTAAGATATAGTTTTACAACAATGTATGGAAGTCTGCCCAATTTGTTGACATTTATGATTACTGCTCCGCTCCCTTGGATAATAGCATGATGATAATAATATAGCCATAGCCTTCAAAAAAGTTTTTTTAAGTCGGATTACTAGTTCCTGAGATTAATACATACAAACAAACAAACAAACAAACTCTGCCTCTTTATATATTAGTCTACATTAGTATAGATTATTATGGAATAACTAATAATAAAAGAAGAAGAAGTAAAGAAAAAAAAAACAATAAACTTTTTAATCTTAATAACTAAGTTTCTAAACTTATGTAAGTAACTTATTTTGAGTCGAAGCCAACAGAACCCGCCTGTTTCCGTCGGTAGGATTTTTTGTGAAAAAGTTTTATCTAATGATGCTTGGAATGGGGAAGACATGACTAAGATTGACCGGTAAAAAGGAGATAAAAAAATACTTTTTATTTAATTGGTACCGTTGAAAACAGTTCAATAATTTCTCGAAATTTATTAACCCCATATAAATCTCTTATATACTTCAGTTTTGATTTATTAAATTTAAAAAAGTCATAAAAATTGGTTAACAGATGGTGAAGGCATTATGGAATATTCATCTTTTAAAATTAGTATATATGTATATCCAATTTGACGAAATCCTATATTTCGAAGTTGCGAGAAAATATATTTAAAATAGCATGTTCAAAATTCGTTTTCTTCATATTGGGTACTATTTAATATATACTTGAAAAAAAAAACTGACCGCGAACGTGACTATAGGAATCGTTATATTTAGACCTAACGGCATACCTTCAAGTTCGTTCTAAGATGTTTAAGAGTAGCTTATATGTTACTCCAGGTCATAATCTGTCTAGATAATAAAAAATCGGGTGATGATTCTGATGATGAATTCTGACCAACCGTTTTGGCGCGGAGGAGTGACAAACATATAACATACTAGCGACTCACCCTCGCTTCGCTCGGGTTAGTCCCTAGGTTGTTTCCCCATACAAACTTTCATCCCCATTTTCACCTCCTTAAGGGATGATTTCCGGGATAAAAACTATCCTATATCCTTTCCAGGGTCTCAACTCTCAAGCTATCTTCTTACTAAATTTCATCTGAATCGGTCCACTACTTTCGGACCTTATTCGATACAAACAAACAAACAAAAATTCCTCTTCATAATATTATAAGTATAGACAAACAAACTTTCGCAATTACAATAATCCTTCCATAATTGATTAAAAGTTTTAAAAGTTCTTGGATACACATATTTTCTGTTAAAATCTGTACTTTAATAAAACAGGCATTACACATTGATGATCGCGATTATATTTTTCATTATGATACATTCGTGTAATCACACGTTGACGACAGTTAAATGAGTATAACAAAACAATCAGTATTAAATATAATTTTGCTTTAATATAATTTATTTATAACAGTGGCAGCTTACTGGTAATACACTTGGAACATCAAGTGATGTGAATTCAAAGCAGGGTGTCGCATACCTCAAATTTCTATGTGCGACACCTAATACGGCAATGGAAAATATTGTAAGGAAACCTGTATGTCTGAGAGAAGCTTAATCGTTTTTAAAGAAGTATGAAGTCTACCAATCTGAACATGACCAGCGTGGTCGACTGTGGCTTAATCCCTTTTAAATTAAGGCCCGTGACCAGCAGTAGGATATTAATAGATGTAAATCATTATTTATAGTATAGCTTCTTATAAATAATACTATGTTAAAATATACAGAAGATGTCAGGTTGAACTTCAGTATGAGCAATATAGAACTTCACAAGCATGAATATTAATATGCACTGGATCTTGGTCATATCAAGTATATACATAAAACAAGTCTGAGTGAATTAGATGAGAAATCTAAGTGAAATAACAACTAAATTCATACTTGTTACTTGATTCTACTATTGAATATAGTATCATTTAAGCAAATACTACCACTAATATAACTGACAATATGGATATTTTTCAGAATGAGAAAAATGTTGCTTTGGGAACCAAACAATTATATTATCTAAATAGGTTTATATTATTATTAGTCTAATTATATTTAGTTTATAACTAAAGGTAGAGAAGAGAAATCTTACTAAACATTGGTAAGAAATATATACTAGCGACTCACCCTTCCTTCGCTCGGGTTCGTCCCTAGCTTGCTTCCCAATAAAAGCTTTCATCCCCATTTCCACCCCCTTAGCTGATGATTTCCGGGATAAAAAGTATTTTATATCCTTTCCAGGGTCTCAAACTATCTTCATGCCAAATTTCATCTAAATCGGTTCAGTAGATCCAGAGATTACCCCCTACAACGTCACAAACTTTATAATATTAACCTCTTTATAATATTAGTATAGACTAGCGAATTATCCTCGCTTTGCTCGGGGGCGTCCCTAGGTTTGCATTTGTCCATGAAAATGAGAAATTTTACGGCACTAAACTGTTAAATATGTTAATTGTTGCCCTGCTATTAGTAAGTTTTGTGTAATAAACCATTGAAATTTTTGCATGAAGTATATTGTTTTTCGGAATTTTAAATAAAACTATCTTTTCAGATTTTTACATGGATTTTTTTTTTATTTTTGCAATCATGGTCACGGGAAAGACTAAGATTTTAGACGTCTCAAAAGTCATACAGTTGTTAAAGACAGCACCTACTCACAAAATTATAAAATGATTTCAAAATCGATGATGATCGTTGTCGAATTGACTATATTTAAAAATATACGTAGAAAAACAGTCTTACATAATAATCCTTGGAGGTGATTCTGGCATTTGATTAAAATACATAAATCTTAGAATGCAATAATAGGCCGAGTTAGAGCCAGTCGCGCTTTAATTATCATTTAGGTCACGTACTGTCCGGACGCTTTTAGAGGGTGTAGAATTGTGGCGACTCTTGATCTTTTGAACTTAAGACTTTATTAATAAATCGGTAATGTGGGTCAAAAGATTTTCTCAGCTTCCTCAGCATTTTAAGCCTAAGAAGATGCTCTACATTTGTTCTTATATCCTAATATAGCTTCTACGACTTCCAAAATATCTGATTAGGTATCTATTCTAAATCGATACCCCCGTTTATTTATTTTTTACATTTTAGTGT